TCCCAAATTTAGGCTTGGTAATCACCTAATTGGAATTACCATGAGCAATCACTCAAAGAAGAAAAAACGGTTAGCTACTTTTCCAATACCCACCCACCTACCCCTCTGTCAGAGCAAACTGCCAAGAAGGAACTGAGGTGGTGTCGGGTTGGCAGGGCCCTATATTTGGCGTCATGGAGGCATGACTCCAGGGGGGGCTTGGACTGACCGACGGGTACTGCTAGGGGAAAAACCTTCCGGCTGCCAGGCACGCGGTGCGTGCACACCTAACTGGAATGGACATGAGCAACATATTTCGAGGAACAACCGTTACGAAAGGTAGGTAACCGGTTTTTTTAATGGCTTTCAGAACTGATGTCTCCACCAGCCCAGGTTCCATTAAGAATAGCCCAGAGAGCTTGACCTCTCTTGATACAATCTAGAAGTGTTTTCACAGCTATGCATCACATCCATATTACAGCTGTGTTGGCAGGTGTTTCAGAGCTGCAACTCTAGGCTAGAGGAGAAGTCTCTTCATGTTAAGATATCTAGCCTTTCCCGACACTAGCAAGCACCGCTCTGGGAAAACTCAGTTCTGAGTTAGGTGCCCAGGCTCCTTATACAATAAGACCATAAGAAAGGCCATACTGGGTCAGACCAATGGTCCATCTAGCCCAGTATCCTGTCTTCTGGCAGTGGCCAGTGCCAGGTGCTTCAGAGGGAATGAACAGAACAGGGAAATTTCAAATGATCCATCCCCTGTTGTCCAGTCCCAGCTTCTGGCAGTTGGAGGTTTAGGGACACCTGATGCATAGGGTTGCCTCCCTGACCATTTTGGCTAATAGCCGTTGATGGACCTGTCCTCCATGAACGTATCTAATTCTTTTTGAGCCCAGTTATATTTTTGACCTTCCCAACATCCTCTGGCAACAAATTCCACAGGTTGACTGTGTGTGGTGTGAAGAAATACTTCCTTGTGTTTATTTTAAACCTGCTGCCTATTAATTTCATTAGTTAGGTGACCCCTAATTCTTGAATTATATAAATAGGACAGTAACACTTCTTTAGTAGCTTTCTCCACACCATTCATGATTTTATAGACCTCTACCATATCAACACCCTTAGTCGTCTCTTTTCCAAGCTGAACGGTCGCAGCCTTTTTAATCTCTCAGATGGCAGCTGTTCCATCCCCTAATCTACCTTTTCCAGCTCTAATGTCTTTTTTGAGATAGGTGACCAGAACTGCAGTATTCAAGGTGTGGGCATACCAGGGATTTATACAGTGGCATTGTGATATTTTCTGTTTTATTATTTATCCCTTTCCTAATGGTTTCTAACATTCTGTTAAGTTTTTTTGGACTGAAACTGCACACTGAGCAGATGTTTTCAGAGAACTATCCACAATGACACCAAGATCTTTCTTGAATGGTAACAGCTGACTTAGACCCCATCATTTTGCATGTAGAGTTGGGATTATGTTTTTCAGTGTGCATTACTTTGCACTTATACAATGCATGGGGAGATTTAAGTGCCTAAGAATGGGATTCTCAGACGCCAGCAAGCTGAGGACCTCAGCCTACCCTAGCCAGTAGGGAATGCCAAGGAGACGGGTGAAGCCTCAGTCCCATCCTGACAAGGTAATTAGGTTCCTAACTCAGGGCTGAAGGGAGGCATTTATCTCTGCTTGGGATTCACAGCTGTGAATTTGCCTTCATTTCTTACCCCTCATCAGGGGCAAATCTATCAGGCTCCTGACTGACAATATGGCCTGCATGTTCTGTATCAGCAAACAAGAAGAAACAAGATGCACCAAAGCAATAATGTTGTGAATCTGGTGTATAGTCCATCAGATCCAAATTTCAGCCATCTACCTCCCTGGTGTTCAGGGCCCCACAGCCGATACTCTCAGCAGGCGCTTCTCCCAGGATTATGAATGGGAGCTGGACTCTCAAATTCTCCATGGTATATTCCAAAATTGGGGATTTCCAAAAATGAACCTCTGCTCTAACTCCAGGACAAGAAATGTCATCAGTTGTGCTCAAGAGGAGGTCTAGGCCGTCACTCTCTGGGAGACGCCTTTCTCCTATTTTGGATGAAGGGACTATTTTGTGCATTTCCTCTAACACTGCTAGTATTGAGTGACATACAAGATCAGACACAACAAAGTCAGGGTTATCCTTATAGTACCAACCTGGCCGAGACAAGGTTGGCATCCTGACCTGCTTCACCTATGTGTCCACCCGATGATCAAGCTTCTGATCATTCCTCAGCTCTTCCAAGATCCAGATCATTTACTTCGCATCAGGGCATGGTTCCTCGATGGTTCGTGGGGTTAGAATCTACCTGCTCTGTGAAAGTACAAGTGTTACTCAACAGTAGAAGGAAGTAAAACTGAATTATTTACCTGCAGAAGTGGAACAGATTCAGTCATTGGTGTCAACACCACTGGCTCATGTCTGAATCTTCATCACTTTCAGCTATCCTGGACTTACCTGTTAGACCTAAAGAAACCAGGGTTATCAATTAGCTCGATTTAAGGTTCACTTGGCTACAGTATCAGCTTTTCATCCTCTCGAGTTTTCTATATTTGCTAACCCTATGTCTTCAAGGTTTATTAAGGGTTTGGAGAACCTCTACACTCAAGTTAAGGATCCCTACTGCAACTTGGGACCTCAGCCTAGTACTTAGATGTCTCATGAGACTTGCCCAGTGTTTCAAGACTTATTAAAAATCAGCATTAGCAGTCCAGAGTGCTCCTTGGCCAGCTCTTTTAAAACTCTTGATCTGAACCTGCTTTTTTACAAATATCAAACTTTAGTAGCTGCCTTTTAAAATCCTTCTTAGTTACTGTTGGAATGGAAAGTATTTCATCAATCATCATCATCATCATTTATGAATATATCATCTGGCTTTTTCCCAAAAACAGAACAGAAATATTTATTGAATGCTTGTGCCATTCTTTCATTATTCAATACCATTGTTAGGATTTCTTTTGCTCCTAATATACTTTTAAAAGTCCTCCTTATCATTCTGAACTCTGCTGGCCGTAGGTTTCTTCTTGTGTCTTTTTGATTCCCTTTTCAATTTTCTACCTTTCCTAGCTTCCAATTTATATTCATTACTATGAACCTCTCCTTTTTTCCATTTGTTTATATATTGTTTTTAAAAAAATTTATACTTGCTTTCACTTCCCCTTTAACTCAAATTGTTCATTTGTTTAACTAATGTAGCCTCTTTATCAGTGGTTGCTTTTTGAACATGTAATAAAATGTTCTTCGAGTGCCCAGGTAGTCACATTCTTTTATTTAATTTTTTTCTCCCAGTTGATTTGGCTCAATTGTCTTCAGCTTTGTGAAATTGTCCCTTTTAAAGCACCGTGTGTGTGTGTGTGTATGTGTATGTATAAAAAAAAAAAAAAAACCCTTAATTTTTATTTTGCTGGTTAGGACTTTTTTGTTTGCACATTATAAATGTGATCAAGTCACGATCACTTGCACCTAAGCAACCACTAACTTTTAGTTCTGTGATCAATTCCCTTTGATCTATTAGACTGTCCTTGTTCACCAAGGACCTGATCCAGTTGCTGCGATAGCCAATGGGAGTTGGATCAAGCCCTCGGAGAACAGAGCATTCTTGTTATCTGTAGATGTATTTCTCTGATGAACAAGGTTATTCACCAGCAGCTCTCCCTTTGTTTGGAATTCTAGGCAGATTTCTGTCCTGTCTGTTGTTGACACTGTCCCGCACTGGAAAGTCTCTCTTCAGATAGGAACAATTTTCTGTATTGGTTAAGCAAGAGTGTTTCACTTGAATTTGCTTCTCATCTAAGACTTTCCTTCCATCCAGGCGTCTCCCTGTTCAGCCTGTGCGCATCGCTTTTCCTGACTTGCTGAGCGAGGCTTGGGTATTCAGGCTGGCATCTTACACCTGCATTTTGGCTGGTGGCCCCAAGTGAGTGAGATGAGAGCCTCGCTGTGGAGACGCCACCCCTCCTTATGGACCTACCTCCGAGCTCCCCACTTCTCCTGGTGATGTCCTTGTCTGCCTTTTGGCACTTTTCACTTCTGTTTACACACGCAGGAGGCCAGGATTGGTTTTCTTTTGGCCACCCTGAAATGGAGCTTATAGAATGCCGGCAATGGGAGTTCTCCAGTCAGGCCACAGCTCCGCTCACCTTCAGTGTTTGTTCCCTGCCCCCCACCTCTCACGACTGCCCCCTGCACGTGCACCAGCCTCACTCTCCCCAGGCACCCAGCAGCATTCTCCTCTGCACTGTCCAATCAGCCCCCGGGGGGGTGTTGCTTACAAAATGAGAGTCCGCGACACCATCAGGAGCGGCTGTGCTTTAGCAGTGCCCCCTGCCTGTTACAGCCTTGGGCTCTAGCACAGGGGCACTGCCTGGGGGAACCGTGAAAACGCCTTGGTCCTAGCCACACGGCAAAACATACTGTGGGACTGCTGCATTGTAACTGAGTCCCAAAGAGTTAATGAGTTCACCGTGTCGAGTTAAACAAGCCACAGTTGGGCCTAATCTAGTCCCCTGCTTACCTGCATTAAAGCTCCCCGTGGAATTGGAGGGGAAGCTGTGTCTTGTTTAACTTTCCCGCTCCACTAGGGAGCCTGCTCCCAGTGGGTCTGGGCTGTAGCTAGCACATCCTGTAAGGTGGAAGTGTCCCTGGTCTGACATGGCTTTCCTTATGGGGACTCAGTAATACGTTGTATTTAGAACATTGGTGAGAATTAATCTGCAGTTGCATTGATATAAACAGCAAATTGATGAAAGCCCCTTGGAGCATAGCCATTGGTTGGGGGTACTTGTGATGTCAGAGCAGTGGGGTTCTCCTCTGACCTTTACCCCAACTCTCTTGGCCACTAATTTCCCAGCAACAGAACCCCCTGCTGGAAATCCTGGTCTCACAGTAGGAAAATGCCTGCTAAGCTCTGTGGCTCCTGCACCCCGAGGTGCCATGCCTGAGTTGCTCCTGTCCCATGTGTGCTGACTGGATCGCTTTGTTCCCCAGATAAAGGGGTGGTGTTTGGCTCCCCGCTGACCGAGGAGGGCATCGCCCAGGTCTCGCAGCTCATCGAATACCTGCACAAGCGTAAGTGACTCTCAGCTCTCTTGCCAGCTTGTCATTCCCAGGGTGCATCCTGCTGGGGCCTCTGGGGTTGCTTTGTAGCACAGGGCAGAACACTGGGCTCCAAACTTGAGTGTTTTGCTTGGATTGTGGGCTGGTGCTGTGACCCAGAGTCACCTGTGGCAGCTCCTAGCCCTTCTCTCACCTCTCTGATTTTGCAAGCATTCCTTCTGCCAGAGCCGTAGGGCACATCCTGGGGCCTTGGGGTTGTATATAGCCCACTGAGTAAGGTTTTCTCTATGGGATCCCATCCAGGTGGCTAGAAGGGAAATTGGGAGAGGGCTCCTTGTGTCAAAGGTCGGGAGCCCCCTCCTCACGATGAGTGATCTCTCTCCTACTCCCTGCCGAGCAGATCTGCGAATGGAGGGCTTGTTTCGCGTGCCGGGGAACAGTCTCCGGCAGCAGATCCTGAAGGATGCCCTGAACAGCGGGGTGGATATTGACCTGGAATCGGGGGAGTTTCACCCCAACGATGTGGCCTCTCTGCTGAAGATGTTCCTGGGTGAATTACCAGAGCCCCTGCTGACACACAAGCACTTCCAAGCCCACCTCAAAATTGCAGGTGAGTAGGCAAGGGGGCAGTGATAGACACTAGGGATGGGAGCTGAGCGAGCCTCCTCCAGGGCAGCTTATGTCAACTGGCCACACCCTGGGATGTTCGTCTCTTTCAGCACCTGGGGCTTGGGACAGGGGAGGGAATGACCCCGAGGATGTTTTTCTTGTGTATGTTTCAGCCCCGGCGGCAGGAGTTAACCATACCCATCTGGGGGATGTGGAGGGTTCCCGGGGGTGATGGAGCCAGGGTAGGCATGTCTGGAGAAGTACAATGTATGGGGGGGAGGGTTGGGTAACTGGCGAGTGTGGACCTAGCTTCCTGGTTACGGAGACCTGTGGGGCTCCAAGTGGCTTCAGCTCCTGCGCCCGGGCTTGCAGGCCTGATGCAGTTTGATGACAAGGGGAACAAGACCAGCACGCCGGATAAGGAGCGGCAGATCGAAGCCCTGCAGCTGCTCTTCCTGATCCTCCCCCCGCCCAGTCGCAACCTGCTCAAGCTGTTGCTGGACCTGCTCTACCAAACGGCCAAGAAACAGGACAAGAACAAGATGTCTGCCCACAACCTGGCTCTCATGTTTGCACCCCACATCCTGTGGCCCAGAAACGTAAGCAACGCTTAGCAGCAGCTGGGTTATACTGCAGGGCAGAACAGTGGAGCTGGGAGGGACTCTGGATTACAACAATAGATGGGGCCGTGGGCCAGGACGGGAGGGTGCTGGCCAGGCTGTGTGGGGGACACAGGAGTGGGAGAGTGGGTGGGGCTGACAGTCAAGATTCAGGGGCCTTGGCAGAGCTGTGTTGGGGGACGCTGGTGCCATGGCCACTGCCTGCCGTATGAGTGACAGCCGTGTATATTGCTTCCTCTTTTTCAATACGTCTGAAAAGTCACCAGACTCCTGCTGTATCTAAGAATTGCCTTGTGAGCGATGCACGTGGCCTGGGGGATGCACCACAGCCCTTTCTCTGCAGGGCCACCTGTGCCTGCTGCTAAACATCTGCTCTGAAGTGTAGGTGCCTGAGAGCTTAGGCTGTCCTGGCGCAGGCTTTGGATCTTGTGCAGTCTGCCTATGGGCATGCTGTGTGTCCAGTGCAATAGAGGCCTGAGCAGAGGGACAGGAACTTCCCCGGGGAGTCTGGCAGCACATCCTGCCCCCTCCCCTTCTAATGCTCATGCTTGGCCTTCGTCCCCTCGCCAGGTGACAGCAAACGACCTGCAGGAGAATATCACAAAGCTGAATGACGGCGTGGCCTTCATGATCAAACACTCGCAGAAACTCTTCAAGGTCAGTGCGCCCCACAGGGGCCTCTACCCCTGCTCTCCCTGTCGCTTCCACATGCCCTTCCTGGAGGGGCTCGCAGGGTGCTGTGGCTGGCTGGTGACGCTGCCTGTGCTCTCCTGAGAGGGGGTAGCTGAGAAGTGCCAAGCCAGTGACCCAGCAGAAGCGAAGTGCACAGGTCTGCGATGCCCGAACTTGGCCTCTTCCTCCTTTGCTGGTTGACAGCACCCTCTGCAGGCCAGTTCAGGCACTGGCTTTGGCAGGCTCTGAAGCACGATTGTTTCATAGGGGACGTTCACAAAGGCCGTTTCTGGGGATCTTAGGGTCCCTGTGTACAGGAGAACATCTCCTGGGGCTCTCCCGTGGTGAGTGCTGGTAGGAGTTGAATCTGTATGCAGGTGGGATGCCCTTGGTCTCATAGATATTCATGCACATGGCGAAGCCTCTCCCAGGGCTGGGGTGGGGCTGAGCTGGTAGGCTGTGAGCGGAGGAGAGGCCCAGCACTGCACGCTCCAGGTGCAGGGTGGGTTAGTGGGACATTGCTGAGGGGCTCTCTGCCCCAGTCCAGGTTCTCTCGGGGAGGATAGAGTTCATTTGCAGGGTAGCCTGTGTCTTGGCCATGCAGCACACTTGCCAGTCACGCTAAGGGTCTCCAAGGCCTGGAGCTGCCGTTTTCAGGAAAACAGTTCTCAGCATGCCCATTTTCTCTCTGCAAGGCCCCACCATCTCTAGGTGAGCATTTCCTCCTCTCTTAGTCAGGCTCCGGCTCGGGGTGCCCACGGCTGGGGGAATTGTTTGCAAATGGAGAAAGCACTTGAGACCCTTTTCAGGGTACGTTGGGCTGGCCGTACTCTCTCTGTTCCACTGGGGTTGGTTTTGTGTCTCAGCAGAAGCGCATTGTACCACAATCACTGTCACTGCATGGACAGAGAAAAGCGCTAGTGAAGCCACTGGCTCCTTGAGTGCAGAGGGGCTGGTGGGGTGTGCAGTGTGGTGCAGGGCCCATGGGAAATGCCAGCTCTCGTCTGTGCTCACTGCCTGCCTTCTCTTCCTGCCCAGGCTCCGGCATACGTTCGAGAATGTGCCAGGCTGCACTACCTGGGGTCCAGAGTGCACGCTTCAAAGGTGAGGACAGCAGATGAGTGGCTGCCCACGGGGAAGGGGCAGGTGCTGGGAGGAAAGTGTCACTCTGGTGCTGTGCAGAGGGTTTTACAAGTGAGAGAAGCTGAAAACTGAAACAGTGCCAAGAACAGGCTCTGCCCAGAGACGGGAGGGGGAGCTGCCATGGGACCATGACTCAGGATCACCCGGGTGATGGCACTGGAGGGAGGAGCTGGAGCATAGACACCATGGCAGCCCCCAGATCGAACACCAGGCCTATTCTCTGTCCCCAGGCACAGTATGTGTAGTGACTAGATACTTCTTCACTGGGCTGCTGCGTTCAAACCAACCTGAGCCGTTCACATTAACCACTGGGCTCAGGCCATTCTTGGTCCGGGAGCTGCACAAGCTGCTGCAGCAAGGGGGGCTTGGAGATCAGACCTTCCACTAGATGGGGAAAGAGAATTTCTCCTCTCGCTCTCCAGTAAACCAGTCCTTCCCGTCTAGCTGAAGGAAGTGGAATGATGCACTGGAGGGAGAGCTGCACCGAGCCCATCTCAGCCTGGGGGAGCTGCTGCCCTGTGGCGTCCAGGGGACGGGAGGAGCCAGTGGAAGTCACCTTCTCACTGCCGCCCCCGTGCTTGGCACAGCTCGGACCGTTGCTGCACAGCAGTGGGAATGGAGTGGGACCAGTCTTGCACGGGAGCTGGCACAGCTGTTCCTGCGGGCCCTCAGACACAGTGGCTGGTTTGGGTTTTGTAACGAGTCGCGTCGCTCCCTGGGATCGCCAGCATGCCCACCCTGTGGAGCGCAGCAGGCTGGCACTAGGGCAGGGAGTGACATGGGAACATGACCGTGCCCCTCTGAACTTTCCCAGGACGACCTGGATTTGCTGACATCTGCTGGGTCCAAGGAACTCCAGCCCCTGAAGTCTCAGAAGCGGAGCAGGCTGGATCCTTCCCACCGGGAGGAGACGCAGCAGCGCACGGAGGAGGCGCTGAAGGAGCTCTTCCACCACATCCACAGCATGCCAGACTCTGCGAAGAAGAAAAAGCTCATCCGGCAGGTAGTGTTCAGGGAGCGGGGGCTAGTCCGCGGGAGCACACCACTGGCTGCAGGCTCCCAGAGGCAGGGCTCACCCACAAAGCCACCCACAGATCCTGAGCATGTGTGGGGGTTGGAGTGCTTTGCCCTGGAGCTGAGCCGGGTAGCTGTGGGGGGTGACTGGAAGATAGCGTAGTTGTTGGTTTAACACCTAACATGGTGCCCTGCGTGTTCTCTCTAGTTCCATAAGCATCCTGGCACTCTCACTCCTGGGCCTGATGCGCCGACACCCCCGGTCCAGAGGCGCACCCGCTCCCGCTCCTTCAGCGGCCTCATTAAGGTAACTGCAGCTCCCCGTCAGAGCGCTGTCTGCTGCGGGTCTCTGGTCAAAGTCCCTCTCTGGCCCTGCCCGCTGCCCTCTCCTATGCTTTGGGGAGCTCCCAAGTCTTCTCTCAGGCCTGGCTCTTTGCAGCGTGTTGGGATGGTCCGGCTTAGTGAGGCCCCCTGCTCAAGTGCAGTGGTCGGAAGAGTAAACCAAGTGTTGAGGTGCCTGAGGAAAGGGGTAGAAAACAAAACGGAGACTGTTCCAATCCTCTGCATCAGCCCCGGGGCGTACGCGTGTGCGAACAGGTCACCCCGGCTCCAGAACAGCCTAGAGGGGTCCAGGAACAGGCGACAAGCTCTGGAGGGACTGAAAAGCCTGGGACCGTGTACTGGAGAGAGGGGCCAGGAGAGGGATATGAAATACTGAATGGTGCAGAGAAAACAGCCTGTGCTCTAGTTACCCTGCGTAACGGCAGGGCAGTGATATCAGGAGACAACACATGTAAATCATAGGGTTAGAAGGGACCGCAAGGGTCATCTAGTCCAGTGGTTCTCAACCTTTGTGATACCAGGGACCGGCTTGCTGCCTTCCCAACCTGTGTCAGGGAGATCTCCGGGACCGGCGCCGGTCCACAGACTGGTCGTTGAGAAACACTGAGCTAGTCTAACCCCTAGCTGAGATTCAGGATTTGTTGTGTCTAACCCATCCCAGCGAGATGGCTGTCTAGCCTCCTTCGGAAACCTCCAGCGAAGCAGCTTCTACGACCTCCCTAGGCAGGCTGTGCCATTGGTCTACTGCTCTTATCGTTTCTGAGCTTTAATTTAAATGTAAAACTGCTAAGACCTTTCTACACCATGCGTAACCAGTTGGGGAACTCACTGCCCCAGGCTATCATAGCTAGTAAGAGATGGGACTAGCTGCTTCTCCAGATAATCAGCACGTCTGCAGGTACGTTAGAAAGAGTAACAATAATGTCGCTGTGAGGATAGAAACATCCTGCACCAGGGCATGAGGCAGCCACCACTTGACAGCTGGGAAAGACCCACCACGAGGGAAGTTTAACTCCCCAGTTCCCTCCGGGGTGTTTCACACCTTCCTCTGGACAGCTTGTGTTAGTCACTGTCAGGGACAGGATATCGGGCTAAATGGGCCCATTCTGGTCTCAGGCCCAGTGTTTGTGCCTATGCAAAGTGAAGCGAGTGTCTTTCATCCTTCTGTGACAAAGTCAGTCTGATGACTGCCAGAGAGATATGTTAGCCCTAGAATGATAAAGACCCTTTTTCCTACCAGCTGAGAAGGGGTTACCTCAGGTCAGTTCAGGACACCGGAGTCCAATTAAGGGCTGCAGGAGACCTTTACAAACCCCTCCTCTGGTGAGAGAGGGAGAGGAGAGCTGAATGCCTGTTTAGGGGAAGGACTGACACCCCAGGGCCTACAACAGGACAACACCCCCCAGCGAGGGGGCAGGGGAAGGTTTGTTTGTGTTTGTAAATTGGTTTCTCTTTGTTTGGTGGAGGAGCGCTCCTAGGGCCTGCCCCGAGGCCTATCTCCAAAATCCTGATAAGTAAACCCAGGGGGGAAGAGAAACACTGTCCCAAGTGTGGCCGCTTTACCCCAGGCCCTGCCACCATCAGAGGGGGAAGTGCTGGGAGGAGGTGCCCTGCCACACCTTTCTTTGAGCAAACCTTGTTGGGTCGGGTTTCAGGTTGGTCCTGTTTGCGGGGAGTCTTTTGCTTCTTTTCCCAACATCCAGCTGCTGGCCATGTGAGGCTGTGATTTCAACCCAGAATCCTCATCCTGTCCCAGCGCTCCCTTCCCCCCTTAAGGCCTCTCTCAGCACTTACCAACAACCCTCTCTTCTTTCTAACTCAGAGGAGGATGCTGGGGAACCCACTGATCTTGGAAAGGAAAAGCAGGGATTCCACACCGGAATCAGAGCGAGCCAGCAAAGAGAACCTTCACCTGGTAAGAGCTGTGCCTGGGGCTGCGTGTGCTGCCTGGGGGGGAGGTGGTACGTGGGACTTTGCTTCACCGGGGGAGTGTTGGCTGTGCTCTACCGGAGTCTGAGCCTGTGGATGATCTGTCTGCAATCAGACACGAGGCCAGAAGATGCCATTCTGGGGACAGCCCTTTGTGCAACCCAAGGCTTGGAATGGCGACAGCCCTGGAGTTCAGTGCTGGTTCTCACCTGGGCGGTGCTCCTTTGACTCCAGTCATGCTGTGGAAGTTCTGTCCTGGCTTCTCTGCCCTCCATAGTTTATCCCATTATATCAGCCTCGCTCTCTCACTCCTCCTAAAGCTGCTTCTCCCACTTCCCCCGGATCTTTGCCATGGCGCTCTCTGAGGGACTGAGCTGAAGATTCATGTTAGGAGCACAGGACCTCCTGGCCATGGAGTCCAGTCCCTGATAAAGCAGGGAAGCCCTGTCAGATTGTCCCCATCATTGACTTATCAAGCTCCATCTTCAAACTAGTAGGTTGTTTGCTCCACTGCTCCTACTGGGAGGCTGCTCCAGATTGCTTCCCTGTGAGGGTTGGAAACCACTTCTCATTTCCAGCCTTAGCTCCATTTGTTCTGGTGCCAGCAGTGTCCTTTAGCTGCAGCAGCTCTTCTCCCTCCCAGGGTATTTATAGAGAGTAACTGATCCCCTCTCAGCCTGCACTGTGCTAGGCTGAACAAGCCACCGTCTTCCAGTCTCCTCTCGGAAGCTCGCTGTCCGTTCCCCTGATCATCCTAGGAGCCCTTCTCTGCACCGTTCCAATTTGAATTCAGATTATTTTCATATTGGCCTCCAGACCAGCCCTGCATCTTTCCTCTCACTCTGTCAGTGCCAGGCCCAGGTCGGTTTGGTGGGTTAATCTAGACTAACCAGCAGTTAAAGGCAAAGGCATCTGCTCCCTGTACAGGAGATCGTTGTCCTTTGTGCGGTAACACCATGTCCAGTGCCAGTCAGGGTGAATTTGGACTTGGGTAAGAGACTAACCATCTACTTAGCATGGTCTGCCTGCAAGGAAGATCTTGGAGTGTCCGTTCATCCCCCAGCCTGTCCCTGCTCCCTCTGACCCTTCTGCCTCTGTCTCACCATTTAAACTGTGTCCAGTTACAGAGACCGCCTGAATCTCCAGCAAGTCATGGCACCCGAGCAAAGTTGAAATTGTCTGAGGGCAGGAAAGAGGTGAGAAATTCTGCACACATGTTGTCCTCCCCACCACTCCAGTACCTGTAAACCCCTGCAGCCCATTGCATTCTAAATTGTGGTCTGTGCCTGCCTTCATCTTGAATATGGGCATGAGGCCTGCAGGATGACCGATCCCAGCACGCAATGCTGCATCTCGGTTTCAGTGCCTGGATCATTGCGTCCCAGGAGCTGCAGTGCCCTGGGTCTTTCTCTCTGTATTAAAGATGAGGGTTGCTGTGGCCTGCTGTGTGTGCTTGGCCCCTTTGGAAGTCAGGCCGGGGGTGTCTCACGCTGGGCTTCCAAACGTCATCACCCAGCATGAGTGGGGAGGATTGAACATATTGACTAGGTGCAGCTGTCAGGCTGCCTGCGAGCAGCCGGTGTGGTGCTTTGGAATGTGCTGGGCCTGCTGTAGGGCCTGGTTAAAAGCCCCCTGGGAAGGGAGTTCATCCCAGCTCCCAGTACCGAATGTCAGCCCCAGCCAGGCACTTCCCAGGACTGTGCTGTCAGGAAACACGCTGTCTGAAACTTGCTGGGCTGGCAGCGGGTGTCCGAGGGAGGGACAGAGTGACAGCAGCAGCAGCATGGTGGTGGTAGAGATGAGGCCTGCTAGGAGATGGGTGCTGGCTTGGCGGGTCCTAGAGGAGGAGAAAGGAGGGTGACCAGTTACTGACCCTGTAGGGATTGTTCATACAGTGTGCCAGCTCGCAGGAGACGCTGAATAGCTGAGAGACCCACCACTGGGGCTGCCCCGAGACCTGGGCTTGTGGGGAGAGAAACACGACCCCTTCATGCTCAGTTATACTCCGTGTTTCGGGCATATTAACCGCTGTAATTCCTCTGGCCCAGGACTCCCGTAAACATCTGCAGGCCCTTGCGCCTTCCACCAAGGAGCCGTCCGTCTGAGCAGCCAGGCACCAGCCCGTGTGTGCGGCAGACATCTGGACTTGTAAGCTGTGAATAATGCCTGCTGCATCTCAAGCTGTGAGAGGACCGAGTGCCTCAGCCTCCAGCGATCCCTCTAACCCAGCTCACCGGGGCTTGGCTTGCAATGGGGCCTGCTGTGAGCATAGTGAGGACTCTGACTTCTTTCTGTTAATATGGGCAAACCACTATCTAACCAAGCACCTGCAGGGTATCTGACCCTGGGTCTGAGGAAGGGCCGGAGAGCCCATTGGAAGAAGGCAGGAGCTTTGTATTCACTGGTTTTGTTCAGTGCTCCGGGTTCTCGCTCTCTGAGCTTTTAACACGTTTGTCTTGTTTTTAACTCCCTGCCTCCCATCAACAACCAGAACGGTCAGCCACGTCCCGGCAGCTAACCCTGTCTTACTAGCTCTTGTGCAGTGGTCTCTCCTTGCGGGTATCGATGAGGGGGGATCCCCAACCCCAGGGGTCATTTCTGCCTTCCTGACAGGCTGCATGCTGGCTTGGCCATGTCAGCCCCTGGGCAGCTGCAGGGATGTGGGGAATGGCAGCGGGAGGAGGGGAATTGGGGGGTGACATCTTCATGTCAAATGGCGAAGAAGCAGATTCCAGAATAAACTCTCGTCATCTTGATGTTAACAGAGCCCCTTAGCCGCAGTCCCTGCTACTTACAGGATAGTCTGTAGAAAGCGCACAGTGAAACCAGCCCTGGGAACAGACTGCGTGGTCTCTAACTAAAGGTCAGACATAATTATAGACGGATACTTTAAAGTGCTTGTTTAAGCAAGGGCCGTGTCTCGTGCTGGAAGGCAGGTTTCACTGCATCTGGAGTGGATTGTGTTTCCATGTACCTGTCACCTCCCTTTGCTGTGCTTCCTCTCCCATCACGGCTGATTGCCAAGACTGTTGAGGCATTGGAAGGTCTGTCTCCTTTCTAATCAGCCGCCGGCTGCCTGACGCATTCAGCATTGCTTGTCACCTCCCGGCTGTTTCCATGGTCGAGGTCTCTGGAGGACAAGTAGGGGACAGCTAATGGCCTTTCACAGTCTCTGTCGAGGAGGTGCTGAGCCAGGCAGAAGTTCTCGAATGTAAAATGGGGTTGGAGGGGGGCAGACAGGTTGTCTGGGGCTAACATGGCGGTGTGACCTCCCATGGTTCAGAAGTAGGTGGCCATGGCAGCCAGGCAGAGTCCACATGGGAGCTGTGCAGGGGCGAGGGTGTTGCTTGGTGGGTGCTGGAAGCTGGCGGCAGCTTTCCAAGTGATGGCTGGAGGTAGGTTTGCCAGGCCCAGTGCCCTGGGATACGTACCTCCCTCTGCCAGTGGTACCGAAGACTGGCCTGCAGCCTGTGTTTTGTAACCAATATGCTGATCACATACACCTTTAAGACTGGCAGGGACTTCAGACTGCCTGCACAATCAGTTAGCAAGCTGTCCCCTGAGGTGCGGGAGGAGACTGGATCTCGGCTCAGAGCTGCAGAAACGGGATGAAATCACCTAGACGCAGAATAAGCCCCAGTCGCAGCTGGTCACTGGCAGCTGTCTGGCTCATTAAGCTGAAGTGCTCTGCTAAGCCGATACCTCGGCCACATGTCTGTTTGCGAGCACTGTGGAATATGGAGATACACCAGATCACCACTGTGAAGTAAAGATTTAATCAGTAGGGGAGCCAGCTAAACACTTCTCAGCCCTCCTAGATGGAGCAAATAATCACTGCAATCCAATTATAATTGTCTCCTAATCTTCAAGAGTCAGCAGGGGTAGAGCTCCATCCATGGCAGATTCTCCATGTCTGAGGAGTGGTGACATCAGGTGTGAACAGAGACCCGAGCAGTGATGTGAGTCCAGCTCTAGGCAAGGGGCAGAGCTGTGCGTGCAGGTCCCTAACCCCGGTTTGTCCAGTGTCAGAGAAGTAGCGTGGCCCAGTGGGAAAGGCACTGCTAGTGGAGGTTGGGGACTGAGCTAGAGTTCTGTTCCTGGTGCTGCCACCCAACGGGCACGTGACTTGCCCAGGACACCCCACACAGTGGCAGAGGTGGGTATGGCCGGACTCCCAGTCCCCTCTTTGGATCCCTAAACCCTGCCAACAGAGAGTCAATTGGAGGTACTGGATTTGTGTGTTAATCTAAAATAACTCCACCCCTCCAGCCCCCCCCCCCTTTTAATGGAGCAGTGAGTCACTTTACTCATAAAGACTCAAAACTGCTTCACGTTCACAGGCAGCTACGAGGAAAAGTGGGGTTTTAGCTCCCCTTCAAATGTCCCCGAAGCGGTGCCACGCACGGGGCTCTGTCTGGCATACAGAGAGGAGCAGCCTCTCCTTACCTGGCTCAAGGACATGCTGTGTCTTTGTGCTTAGCCTCGTTTTCCAGCTAGGAGAGGTTTGTCTCTGTCCTTCCCAGCTGAACAGCATTAGCCCTGCATTCTGCATGGCTCACAAACCCCCCACCCTCTGGCTGCGGTACCGAAGTGGGGGGGCTTGGAGGTCCTGGGGAAGGATGAGGCCCATGCCTGCCCTCCTTTCTAATCAATGAATACTGGGGTCCCAGCATGCTCTCCTCCATCGGATCCTTCATCCTCCATGGCCCGCCCCTCCCAGAGACAGCTGACGTATGGCCTTGGGGCTCTGGACAGTCTGGGCACTTGCCAGGTAACCCTTTGGGATCCCGACTGGCCTGGCTCAGTTCCACCAGGGCTGGAGCCCTGTCCTGCTTCTCTCTGCCTCAGCTAGATGGGACTGCATGGCATTGCTCGGGGGGCCAGGCCTGCCCCAGCCCTGCCGTGGGCTGCCTCTGTCCCGTGACGTTATTTGGAACAGCTGAGGCCCAGGAAGGGGTTTCTCGACCAGCGCTCTGGCCAGGGAGAGTCCAGAGAGGGAGTAAGGACACGGCTTGTGTGTCCAGTGCAGTGTCCACCAGCACGTAGAGCCGGGGCTCGTATTGCTGCGAGGCCGTGCCGGGGTAAATGGGCCCCGTACAGACCCCCGCCAGGAGCCCTTTTATAAATAGCCTGTATCCAAATACGCAGCTGGGCGGACGGATAACTCCGCCTAGCAGCAGATGAGCTAACGGTTATTGCACCAAGCAAGCAGCATTGTGTGCGTGGGGTGCTGGAGCGAGCACTAGCAGGTGCTGCTGGCAGGTGAGCTCCCCCAGAGAACCAGACTAGCAGTGATGCTGGAAAGCCTGATGGGGCGCTAGGGCCTGTGAGGAGAGACGTGTGCGTGCCCCTGCCCTGAATGGTGACCCTGGGAAAGCACAACCCTCCTGACTGCGCCCCCCACCCCCCATTCAAACACTCCACGGAGCCAGAGACCCACTGAACAGCCAGCGTGGTCCTTGTGCTGGGGGCAGCCCCTTCACTGGAGCCTGGTGCTACTCCGGTCCAGGTCGTTGGCCACTACCCAGTGAGGGACAGGCCAGGTGCCCGGTTAGTGCCTCCCTCCAGCCTCTGCTCCTAGCCTCAGTGCTTGCGCAGGGGCACTGCCCGTCTCCTAGCTCCCCAGGGAAGGAGGGCAGAGTTCAGGCCCCTGACAGATCCCAGCCTGGCCTGGCTATTAACTGGGTTACTTCTCGCTGGCCCCAGTGCGGGGTTTCTGGATTCCACAGAAATACTGTTTGTTCTACCGGGACTTTGTCCGTGGGGATTTCAGTGCAGGACACAAGGGATCAGAGCCCCGCTGGCAGCACCCTCTGTCCTGTGGGCTCTGTGGGCAGAGGGGGCTCGTGGTGTGTCTCTGGGCATTGCCAGACCAGCTGCAGAGCCCACAGGAGCTGCCAGAAACCACTGGGTGCCAACTCGTCACTTATGGGCACGGGCTGGAGTAGCTACGGAGCACCCCTAGCCTGGGCTGTGCTGGGAGTAGCTCTGCTGTCGAAGCGGCCTCGCGAGCCCGGCCCCGGAGCCCGGGCATTCGGTGTCATTTTTAATCTCTGTCCTTATTTATACGTGCAGTGTATGATTGTCAGTCTGGCGTCTCCTCTCCATGCCTTAACGGGGAGTTCCCATATTAAAGGCTTGTTAGCGCTCTACACTCAGTGGCTTATTCTCGGCTTCACTGGGTCACCTCCTGCTGTTCGGTGAGGATTTGGGGGTGGGTTTGTTTGCTACGGGGTGGGGGGATAGCTGTTTACCAAGCCAGTCCCTTCATCTGGTCTTGTCAGCTCTGACAAGTCAAGCAGCTGGGCATGGGCGGGGTAACTTGGGCAGCACTGATCCTGCGGGATGGTGGAGGGGAGGAGGCATATCAGAACGGCCAGACTGGGTCAGACCAAAGGTCCATCTAGCCCAGTATCCTGTCTTCCAACAGCGACCAATGCCAGGTGCTCCAGAGGGAATGAACAGAACAGGGAATCCTCAAGTGATCCATCTCCTGCCACCCATTCCCAGCCTCTGGCAAACAGAGGCTAGGGCCACCATCCCTAGAGGCACTGTGAAGCCACGCTCCTACCCATTCGGGGTCTTTAAAGGTTTCCTGCAAGCGGCAGGGGTCCCCCACACATGCTGATGGAGTGTTCCTTCAGCTGACCTCCATAAGCACCCCGCCACTTTTAATCCGGGTGGATGAAAATCAGAGTTTTTTATTTAAATCTTTTTTTAAAAAATGTAAACTATTTTTTTTTAAATGTGTACGCTGCTCATTCTTTGCTTTCTGCCCATTTCATCATCTTAAATAGCTGAAGTGGATGTTTTGTGCCTGTTTCTCTAATTCGTTTCCTGATTCTTAGTAGAATTTTGGATTCTAGAGTCTCTTTTTCTGCCAAGAACCTTCACACTTAAAATGTTCCTCTGGGCTGTAAAAGACCAACCCAGGGCCTCATTAATGTCCTTGTTGTGAGAAGAGCTCAGACAAACTGGAGAAGCAGACAGCCTGTGGACCATTTGCAACCAACACTCCCTTCCCATACAGTGAGTCTCTACCAGGCAAGAGAGCTGTAATGCTTCGCCCAGGCTGCCCTCCTTCATTGGAGCTGGCGGTCTGGAATCAGGGGTCCTGTGCTCCTAAGTCTGAAACGTCTACCCAAAGATGGCCTGTATCACGGAGTCCCCGGGCGATGCTCTGGAACTGCTCCCCACAAAGCCAGGCAGGACTTTGGGGAGCCTCCTCTCCCTCGGAGCAGACGGTCTTCAGGGCAAGAAGCTCATATGTCTTCACCTCCTGGGTCTCTCCTGGGAGCATTCAGCATATGCCCCTCCGTGCGCTTCCCACAGTGAGTCCGCCCCGGCGGGGTCCTGGGGAAGCCAGAAGACCTGCACGCACCCCCACTTTGCAGTCAGACGTGACTCTCAGCCAGCCAGTAAAACAGAGGTTTATTCGATGACAGGAACACGGTCTAAAACAGAGCTTGTAGGTACGGCGGCGAACGGGACCCCTCGGCCAGGTCCATTCTGGGGTTCAGAGAGCCAGACACCCACGTCTGCTCTCGCTCCTCGTCCCCAGCCAGCTCCAACTCTGAAAACCCCTCCAGCCCCTCCTTCTCTGGGCTTTGTCTCTTTCCCAGGCCAGGAGGTCACCTGATCTCTTTGTTCACCTTTAGCTATTTCCTTGCAGGGGGGGAAGGGGCCCTGGCCATTTGCTGCCAGGGAGACGGAGTGTCAGTGAGTTATGCACACTGGCGTTTCCCCACCACCTAGAGACTTAAGAAATGCATAGGGGAAACTGAGGCACCCACACAGTATTCAGAGGAAACATTAAGAACAGTCCCACTTCCTCACAGCCTGTGTGTTTAAAAACAGGCCCCCCGTGACTTTATTCGTGTATTGGAAATCGAACTCCCTTCGCAGTGTTAACTCTGACACATTTTGGTTTCAAAGTGACAGCGATTTTATGCCACAAAGAGAAGTTTTTAATAAAAATACAGATTTAGCTGCTGATGCTGCAAACACTTACGCCTGTGCTTCCGCTTACACAGCCGAGCCGGGGCATTGAAGTCGATGGGGCTGGGCGTGAGGAAAGTTACAGGAACTGCCGCCTTAGTTTCCAAAATTTTGGTTTTTGCCAATAGTAGTTTTGTAAATTTAGATGAGATACCCAGCCTGTACTTGCACTGGGGGGAAAAACCCACTTCATAATACATTTTAATCTACATTTTTAACAGCACAAATTGTCAAATTAGTTTTATGAAACCGCAACCTCATTGAAATCAATGATTAAAATTGCCTTGAATCACTTCACCCTCTTGTTTCAATTTGACGTGTGGTTTTCATTTAATCTCTTCTATGGTCATGTGGTGTTGCTGGAAGCTGTCAAACAGCTGCTATGTTTCACCCCAGCACTGGCTGCATTGCGTGGATTGGAGACAAGATTATATCTATAAAATCATTTTTACAGTGTAGTTTGCCTGGAACAAGTGATAATTTTGGCTGGGTGAATAAATGACCAGAGTTTTTTTTTCTCATCCCCTTGGTAATGGGCATTAGATTTTGTGCTGGGGCTGCTAAATTGTGTATGAAGATAGATGCAGACAGCTCTGGGCTGTGTTCCCATGGAATTCGGAGCCTCGTCTGAGATTCCGATGTCTGGCTGGCAGCTCGTCTGCGGGACCCCATCTCTGAGGCTGCATCCGTCTCCATCCTGCTTTGATCCTCTCTTAGCTGGAGGGGGTGTTCAGGGGTTCTGGGAGTTTAATTCCGGGGCTAATCTCTGTGAGGAGGCCAGCTGGAAGCTGTGCCCAGCATTGCGCTCAGCTGGTGCTGGGCTCCATGGTGGCACCTCTCAGCGGGAACTTCCCAGGGGCTGATTTTAGTGCAAACCATTAATGTCAAATGCAGACTGGGGAGCAGAGTGGGCTGAGACGCTTAGCCAGCCAGTCAGTGCTTCCTCCTCCCAGACGCTCAGGCATTGGGCCTACCTCGCGTGCTCAGGTCTCTCCTCCCCGCCTGGGGGCCCAGGGCCATGCTGGGGGGAAGGGGACTCAGAGCCCCTCGCTGTTTGGCAGTAGGCAGAGCTGCAGCTGGCTGGGCCTGGCCCGATGTTAGCTTTGCCACTGGCGTCAATGGGAGCAGGCGCAGGCTTGTCATGAGGATAGAGTTCTGGCCTCGCTGGTTAATTTCTCTTTCTCTTCCATGGCTTGGGACTGTCTCCCTCCAGGGTCAGAGACTGGTCTGTGCCTTGCTGGGGGAGGAGGAAGCCGCCTGGCAGTCTGAGGCTGGCACTGCCCCAGCCGGGTGCATCTGAATCATGGAGCAACTTGCAAAGGACTTTGCCCCGTCCTATTTCGCACGGTGTCGCAGGAGCTGGCTGAGTGAGTGGCGTTTCCAAACCTCCCACTGCCAGATGTCCAGGGAGAGTGTCTGTGATTCTGCTTCTCCCAGGGCTTTCAGTTAACAGCGAAGACACTGCTTGTACTGCCCCATAGCCCCGTGAAGCCCAGCCAGTCCCAGCAAGGCGCAGATGGAGGGGGAATAAGGGGGGGAAACGGGAACAAGATCCAGTTAAAAAGTAATGTACAGGGGGTGGCGCCGTGCCTATCCCACTAATACCCTCCTGCATTAAAAGGGAAGAATTAAAACCCACCGTTCCTGCCCCCTCTGGGGGTAGCTTGTTCCTGTCTGGCCTGGCTCATCTCAGGAGTCAGCCTCCCGCCATGTGTCACGGCGTAAAGTTCCCTTTCTGGGGCTCGTTGCCGTGTTTGGAGTTGTGATGCTGGGAGGGAAGGTGGAGTTCTTCGAGTGATTGCTCATATCGATTCCAATGAGTGTGCGTGTTGTGTGTACGGTCGTTGGAACGTTTTCCCTTAGCAGCTCCTGTCGGTCGGCTGTGGAGCCCTCTGGAGTGGCGCCTTCATGGCGCTGAATATACGACCCTGCCGCCCTGGCCCCTCCTCAGTTCCTTCGTACTGCCAGTGACAGTCGTTGGAACTGCGGCCGCGTGCCTAGCAAGTGCTTCCCTTCGTGTACTTTCTGATACTTGTAGTTTAGTTCTTAGTTAGTGGCTATAGTGATAGATAAGGTTGGGGAGTGGGGTTTTTTTCTCCAATCCCTAACCCCTTCCCCCTTGGGCTCTGGGACATGCCGCGAGCCCAGGGGTTCAAACCCTGCAGAGCCTGCAGCAAACCTATGCCAACGAGCGACCCCCACAACTCGTGTCTGAAGTGCCTGGGGGAAGCGCACCAAACAGACAAGTGCAAAATCTGCAGAGCTTCCCGCCCCAGGACGAAAAAGGAGCGAGACTTCCGACTGAAACAATTGCGGATGGAATCTGCTCTTCTTCGGCCACAGCCTGCCGCGGACCATCAGGACCCGGCACCGAGCGCGTCTGTACGGAGCGCCCTGGTCTGTGACATGGTGCCGAGGAAGGACTCTAACCTAAGACACCCTCGGCACTGGCGCTCCCTGGCACTGCAAGCTTAGCCCGGCACTGCTCCCACTCACCAGTGCCTCACAAGCGGCATAGGAAGACCGACGGGGCGCTCCTTGGTGCCAAAGACAGCGGGACCAGCAGACACATCACTAGTGCGTCCCGCAAAGGAGCACTCGGCACCAAAACAGCAGGAGTCGGCACCGTTGAGTTCGGTTCCCCTGAGGGGACCGTCGAGTCCAGTGCCCGGCAACTCCCCGGAGCAGTGCCAGGTGGAGAAGCTAGAGCTGCCCTTCACCCCGGACACTTTTGAGGCTGCCAGGGATCTTGTTGCCATGATGGCACCACAGCCCCCAGCGGTCAGGGACAATTCTCCGGCACCGCATTATCCGGCTCCGTCTAGAGGCAAGCCAGCCATGCTGAGGAGAGCACCATTGCCAGTCCGGCACCGTTTGCCCCGACGCTGCTCCCGATCACTGTTGGCAAGACCCCGTTCTCCGGCACTGGGTTCTGGGCATGGCACCAGCAGGGCGACGCTCCCCTTCCCCGGCACCGCGGGAGGAGCAGCACTGGACCCTCGGCACTGATCACTGGCACCGGATTCCCGGCACGGTCACCTCAGCACTGGTCCCCCGTATCATCACTTCGACACTGGTCCCCAGCACAATACCCTTCAGTGCCACCGTGGTCATCACGGTCGAGATCGGTCTCGTCTGACTCTGATGGAGATTTCTCTTCCTGCCGCAGCGGTTTTCCACAGGGATAAGGTGCAACTCAGGCCTCACCCGGCCTTTCTTCCTAAGGTTGTGTCACTTTTCCATACTAGCCAAGACATTTTCCTGCCTGTTTTTATCCTAAGCCCCATGCGAGGAGCCAGGAGCAGAGGCTGCACTCCCTGGATGTTTGACGGGCACTAGCCTTCTACATCGAGCGCACTAG